ATTTTTTTTTTTTTTTTTTTTTTTTTTGTACCAGGGATCAAACTTGGGACCTTGTGCTTGTGAGGCAGGTGGCAGCACCACTGAGCTAACTCCCTGGCCCTGGTTACCATCTATTCTTGATAGACCTCAAAAGATAGCTGCTTCAAGTTGCTCGCTAAATTTTAAAAATTATCTTTAAACAGAAAACATTAAGCTCTATTGTTGAAATTACTGCACTATACTAACACAATACATGAAACAATATATTTTGAAATAATTCTATCAGTATATTATTTTTTATAAAAATAACATTCCATGATTTTTCACAAGACAGTAAAACCATAAAAATGTTTTTTACTAAAGTGCAAAATAAATATAAAGCTTTACTTTAACAATGTTTTCTACTATTTTCTTGTTAAATATTAAAAAGGTGGAGAAAATGTATAGATAAAATACATGTTTTGCACCCTGAATCATTTGTTTTAAACTCTCAGATTTACAAGATGTTTATGATTTTTTCACTTATCTTTCTAGTTCTGCTTGAAGAATTTCTCCCCATGTATCTGCATCCATTGGGCACATGATTTTTTCTGGTAGGCTAACGGGAGAACAGATGTTGCTGTATCTGCCACTTAACCATTCGTATTTCACTTTACTCTTCTGGTAATTCCTCACTAGTATTACCTGAAAGGAAAAAACCATCATCACTGAAAAGGAGTGTGGTAGGTTGTTCGTTAGTGAATCTGTTTAAAACTAGAGGGCTGGGGATTTAGCTCGGTGGTGCTGCTGCATGCCTTGCAAGTGCAAGGTCCCGAGTTCGATCCCCAGTACCAAAAACAAAACAAAAAACGCCCCCACAAAACAACAACAACACAACAAGACAAGCCAACTCACAGGGCTAAGAGGAAGATTATATACATATATCAAGGAATATATTAACACACATATGCATATATAATAAACTGACATGCATGTGTGTTTATGTATGTATGTATGTTCATGTATATATATATACAGAGATTAAGCCCCAGAATTTACTGAAGGTATTCAGTAAGTTGGAGTGACAAGAGATAGCTAGTTTCACTTAACAGAGCAACACTTCTTAATGTAGGATTTGAAAAATATAGGACTGATGTGAGATAGTGTGGATAAACATATAGAATGAAAAGACTAATCACACAACTTTTACTCCTTCCCATCAACATAGTTTTTCTGCATATGTAAACCTACCATCTCCAAAAGTAAACATGCTCTGTATGTTTGTCTGCCTATCTAATCTTCCCTCACCAGTCAACATACTCTGTGTGTTGTGTACTCTGCATATGTAATCTTACCTCCTCCAAGCAGAAGTTAAGAGGTGCCTCAAAACTGCTAACATGACATCATCAAAAACACTGTAAACTGTAAAGGTTGGACTTACCCTCCAGGAGTACCCATTCTCCAGGTCATTATCGATTTCTCTTCGGCACACAGCTCTGACAGTCAAGCAGTGAGGCTTCCATAAGGAGTCACTATTTCTTATTGTGTGATTCCAGCTCCTGCACGTCACTGAAGCTCTGCACAAACTCTGAATGTCTAGCTGACTGAAAATTTTAAAAGTGACTTCTAGAGGTAGCAGTTCAACAAAATTATTTTGACTCTCCTTGTTTTCCTTCTCAGCATCCACAGAGTTCAATACTATGTCACAAACTCTCAATTTATTGTTCCTTTTGGAATTTTTCTTCATAACGTGATGTTTTAGTAAATTATCCTCATCTGTAACCTAAAGGGAAAAATTGAAACATACTCAATTTCTTCAGATTGGACAGCAAATTTTACTCTTAATCAGATATTTTTTTGGCCATGATCTGAAGTTTCCCAATCTACAAAATTGGGCAAATGCTGCTTCTCTTTTGTGTGTTCCTGTAAGATTGATAGGGATAATTATCAAACATGTAGCCTGCCATCCGAATTGTACAGTGTTCTTTTTTAACATTTTAAGCAAATGGGCTTGTTCCTAAATTTTTTGTTTCTAAATAAAATTATCTAGAATAGGGAAATATTCTTCATGTTAGACCCACACTTATTGAATTTAGTGATGACTACTATGAAGACATAGTCAAAGTACTTAACGAAAACGTGCATGAGTCAATCACACTAATCTCCTTGCCATTAAATTCATCTGTAATTTGTGACTCAGTCATAAACCTGCTGGGCTTTTAGTAATAAGAATTGTGTAACTAATTATACTTTATGGGCAGGTACTCATATTCAACACGAATACTACCTAAAATGGACAAAAGGATGAGATCCCAGTCATGAAGGCACAGTTTCAAATATGCAATTCTAAGGTCAGTATTGTAGAAATGGTCCCTTGAACCATATTTATAGGTAATCATGAAGTAAAGATAAGTTACTGAAACTATTCCACAAGTAAAAAGTATAAACAAAAGTAAACAATGTAATTTAGTTACCTAGAACGTGTGACTAATGATTTCAAGTGCAGTTTCAGCTAATTATTCAAGGTAGGTTGGTGCAGGCTTCTGAATCATGGTAACCATAGCGGTGTACATCACCACTCTTGAACTACTTTTGTATATAAAGACAGCTTGTATTTATTTAAAATCAGTTTATAACATGTTTTTCTCCCTTTTAAAAATAAGGGTTTGGGGTGTAACAGAGGGACTTAAAATACAGCTATTTTTTTTAATCGTCTGATAATAGTTCCCTTTTCTACAAGTGTTACTCGATTATGTTGCCAAGACCAAAGTGGCTTGCATTCATTAACTTATGATCCAAATTAGTCGTGGTACTCAGTAAATTTAATGTCGGTGTTCAGCAGAGGATTTCCTCTTGGGCGTCTGGAGAAGAAAGCAAATTGGTAAACACAAGATCGTAAACGAAGAGCAAGTTTTTGCCACACCCCTTCCCCCTCCCAGCATCATTACAAACCAAAGCCAAACCCTCAAGCACTTGAATCTCATAATAGGATATTACTCGGCAGTTAAAGATTTGCTACTTCTCCCAGGATCTCACTGGAGAATAAAATGCTTCTTAGCGTCAAAAGAATTCCACGTCGCGTCAAAAGAGGTGGACGAAAGCTTTCGATTTGAAGTGGAGATGCGGTGGGCAGGGTTTTTTAAATCTCACTGGAAATTTTCCAGGTTCGGCTTCGACCAGATGTCTGGAATACTACTCAAAAACCGAGAGGCGCGCGTCCCTCCAATTAGGTGAGATTCCCTTTCAAGTGTCACTGGCGGGTCAGGTGCCCCTCGGCTCTCCCCGTCTGGACCACCCCTCCCCTAAGGTCGGGTAATGACCTCGCGTCTCACACAGACCACTTTTCTAGCGTGGTCTGTGTGGACTGCGGCTACCCAAGTCCCAAGAACTCGAGCAATGACAAGTGAACAAAAACAACTGCTGGTAGTACCCCCGTGGCTCCAGGCCGCTGAGGGACAGCTGCACTTGCGCCAGGGCCGCCCCATACCCTGGGCCTGGAGGCCAATGCAGTAAGGGAAGGAAGACCCACCTACCTGGGTCCGACCGACTTCTCCTCCCACGATTTAAATTCTCCGGGATTTGAGTCCTTCCCCATAGTCCTTCACGTCCCACCCACTTCGGCCCCGCCCTGGCCACTCGAATCGCACAGGCGCAGAGGGGCAGTGCGGTGCCTTCTAGGATTGTAGTTTTCTTAAGGCATCGTAGTTCGGCAAAAGAGGGGAAATGAAGGCATCAGGGACTACAAGATCCGGCGTCCTATGAAGCCGATGGGTGGTGAGGAGGTGGGAGGGGGAGCCGGAGTTTTCAAACAGAAATTTGGAGGCGGTCTGAGCTGGGGAATCCCCAAACGTGTCAGTGGCTCAGGTGGAGGACGGGATTTAGAAAGCGGGGCTGGGGTACTGTAGGACTACGCTTACCCTAGCTGAGTTTGGGTTCCCCTCCCCCTGTGTTTCTTCGAGGCTTGGGCATGCCCAGAGCATCTGTGGAAGGCGGAAACGACTGCCGGGGCTGTCTTCTCGAGAAGTAACGTAATCCTGGCCTGCCATGTCTGGGTGCTTCGAGCTGCAGCCGCAGGACGGTGGCCCCCGGGTGGCCTTGGCGCTTGGGGAGACGGTCATCGGCCGCGGGCCGTTGCTGGGAGTAAGTGTGGGAGAAGGCTTGGGCGGACCCCGCGAGTCTGCAAGGTCTTTGCTAGGTCCGAGGTCCTTCTTTCGAAACTGAACTTCCCACCAGTCAGCCCTGCCTGTCTGGATTTTAGAAATTTTGGGCAGCACATTTTGCAATCAACTTTAGTCAACTCACAAACATTTCTTTATGTTGCCTTTAAAAAGCACTGACTGTACAATCATCATTATCACATTTTCTAGGGGTTGGCAAACTATGTCACTGCAGCCAAATACAGCCCTTGTTTGTGTGGCTTATCACATAAATAGTTCTTCAGATTTAAAAGGTCTAATGTAAGCAAACAAAAACCTATTAGCTTTTCAGGGCACATAGTTACCCCAGGGGTTGAAAATATTGCTTCTAGGGCCATAAGCCTAAAATGTTTACAGTAGCTTCTGGCTTTGCAAAAGGTTGCTCTACCCATGATCTTATCTCCCCTAGACTAATTTATTTTTAAGCTTTGCTTTCTTTGAAGCACCAGGTAGGCCCTACTTTTATTATAATGCAATTTTTAGTAATGTCAGTAGCCAACTCCTAAGTAGAATGTGTACTGTTCCAGTCATTGGCCTAAGGATACTTCTTATATATCAACCAATATGCTTTTTTCAAAACCCTATGAACCAGGTGCTTTTATTATTGCCATTGTTCAGAGAAGAAAAACAAACCATAAATAAGTTATCTAAAGCTTTTGGATGCATATTGCCACAATGCCATATAATCTGTATCCTTTTGGGAGGATTATGAATTAGAAAATTGGCAAATTGCTTTTGGAATTCTATATATCTCTTAGTACATCTGTGTGAGTGCATGCACGTTTCCCCTAACATTCACTATTTCTCATATAATTCTCACTTTGTACTGAAACTTTTGCAGATCCTAGCACTGTGGAGTTTACAAAGATGAACTGGGTATGGGGTCCCTATCCTATAGGAGTTTTCTTTTGGATTGTTTATACAGACCTATGGCAGCTGATACCAGAGAGTAAAGAGCACTGATTAATTTTCTGATTAATTTCCAGTGTCTGAATGGAACCGTTGGTTTTAGCCTTGCACTCACTCTTCTGCGAACAGGCAAAGGAGTAGTGGTTTAAGGTTCTTATGGAAATTGGTCCTAAGGGTGTGTGTGTGTGTGTGTGTGTGTAGGTATATAGATATACATGTATATGTAGTAAGGTTATTGAGAAGGAAGTTCATGTTGCTGTTTTTTTTTTAATCTGGCCAAGTGATTATTTAAATGTTTGAATAAATCTTACTATTTTTCTCCAGTCTGCTAGCCTATGCAAACATTTGAAGAAACTCCTGGGAAGTGTTTTGTTTTGTTTTGATATGGAGATTAGAAACTCAGTGAAGTATCTGTTTCATCTAGTACTCATATGTCTGTTATTAAAAAGTTTTGTCTTGCTTAAGAAATTGTGTTATCCATACAGAATACTGAGAGTTTGATTAAAAGATAAATGGATTTTTGTTCTGTGTTTTGATGAACTTGGCAGGAGCTTGCAGACCTTTTCATTATTTGTAACTTACTTTCTGTGTTTTAGTCTTGCTCATATGTAGTATCTGTTTTTAAAAACGGTAAGTAGAATGTTGGTCAGTTATCTTGTCAGGATTTTGCTTTTCCTTTATTTTTGTGGTACTAAGGATTGAAACCCTACCTAGTCTTTTTATTATTATTATTATTGTTTTTTAAATTTTGAGTCCGATTCTGCCTAAGTCATGAAGTTGCCTCGGCTGAGTGTAAATTTTCCATCCTCCTCCTTCAGGCTTCCCGAGTGCTAGGATTACAGGTGTGCACCACTATACTCTGGCTTTGCTTTTTCCTTTTTACACAATCATTCAATAATCAGATTCTGTCATCAAATTTGGCAGATTTTAGAGGTATTCACGAATGACATCCTCAATGTGTTGAAAGAAAAATTTGAAAAACAGGCAGATCAGTTTGTGGCTTTTAGATTCTGGAGCTGACAAATGTAGCTGTTACTTCTCCGCAGTGTGTGCTAGTAGTGGTGGCATATATCCACAATCTCAGTTAATTGGAGGCAGAAGCAAGAAGATTCCAATTTGGAGGCTAGCCTGCATGACTTATAGGGACATTATCTTGAAAAATAAAAAGGGCTGGAGATATAGCTCAGTTTTAAAGTCTCTCAGGATTCGATGCCCAGTATTGAACAAACAAGAAAAAAAAAAAAAAAAAAAAAACACAAAACATTAAAAAAAAAAAAAAAAAAAAAAAAAAAAAAAAAAAGAAGCACAACATGAGGGCTGCTTTTTCAAACAACAGCAATTCCAGTGAGATTTTTCTGTAGTTGAGAGAGCAAAGACAGTTCTAAGTGGAAAACTCAGGAAGTTCATTGTAAATTCATGTCTATCTGAAATATTAATATCAATAAAGATGACTTTTGAACCCACTTAACTAGCTATATTTTTCTGATTCAAACTCCATAAATTTTGATTGCTGTACAGTTCAACATGTACAATGGTCTTGGTAGTAAAACATTTTAAAAAATTAATTGTGTTTGTACATTTAAGGTATACAGTATAATGACATTCATTTTTGGAAATTGCACCTTTACATAATCCATCTTAGTTTTTTTGGTACTGGAGATCAAACTGAGGACCTTGAGCTTGTGAGGCAGGCATCAGAACCACTGAGCTAAATCCCTGGCCCCATCTTCTTATTTTTTCCCATTCCCCTGTCCTCCCTTCAACCCCTCCACCCTTCCCTATGTAGACTGTTTCCATTTTTTCTTTTTCTCGTATTAATTCCATTCTCTTTCTTTTCCCCTACCCATCCCACTTCCCCTTCCCCTTTGCACCTTTTTTTTTTGGTAGTAAAACACTTTGACAGTGAGAACATCTTTATATCTTTACAGTGGCAGGAAAACACAGCTAAGAAACATCACACACAGAGAACAAAGCATAGTGAAATTCAATCTTTGTTACAAACATTCTTTTTAAAAACATATTCATTTTTGTAAGTAGACATCACTTTATAGGGCAGTTGTATGTTCAAAGCAAAACTGAATGAAAAGCCTCGAGGTCGCATGTGGCCCCTGGCCCCATACATGCACAGGCTCCTCTGCTATCATCTCACACCAGTGTGGTATATTTATTACAATTGGTGAATCTACATCAAAACACTATCTCCCAAAGTCTACAGTTTATACTAGAGTTCACCCCTGATATTGGACATTGTGTGCGCTCCAATGAATGTATGACCCACCATTGCAAGATCATACAGAATAGTTTTACTGCTCTAAAAATCCTGTGTTTCTGCCTATTTATCCCTTCTCTCCCGAGCTCCTGACATCTGCTGAACTTGCTACTGTTGCTGTAGTTGTACCTGACATCTGTTGAACTTTATACTGTTGCTATAGTTTTGCCTTTTCTACAGTGTCATATTGTTAGAATCAAATGGTATATAGCCTTTTCAGATTTCATTTAGCTACTGAAAGTCATTTTGTTTGCTTCTGAGTTTTTAACAGAGACAATGCTGCTATAAACATCCATGCACAGGTTTTTATGTGGATGTAAATTTTTTTTGTTTGAGACAGAGTCTCACTATGCAGTTCAGGTTGGCCTTGAACTCACAACAGTGTTCCTGCTTCAGCCTCTTGAGTGTTGAGATTACAGGTGTGCTCCACCATGCTCGGCTTGAATCAAAGTTAACTTGTTTGGGTAGAATTAGATACTAAGGAGGATAATTGCTGGATGTCATAAGAGTATGTTAAGTTTTATAAGAACTGCCAAACTGTCTTTCAAAATGGCTCTACTATTTGCATTTTCACCAACAATGAACCAGAGTTCCTTTTGCTTTGTATCCTTTCAGCATTTGTATTTGTCAGGGACTTGGATTTTGTCTGTTTCAATATATGTGTGATAAATTGCTTTCCATATAATCTCCAAGTGGTGATTGAAACCCAGTTTTATGATAAGATCTGCTTATGTTTTCACTTCCAATGTTGCCTTGTAACAATATGTTAATGAAGATGATGTTCTCATACTTTATAGAATTCACTGTATAAGTAGCATTACATGTCAAACAGGTTTTGCTGAGTAAAATTTTTAATAGCACCAAGCCTGCAGAGTCATATTGGCTAACGATTCAGCAGACTTGAAGTAGTAGCACAGAAATTTTACTTTTTAAAATTGAAATTGTCCACATTTCATCAGCATTATGTATTAAATGGGTATTTATGAGGTACCCTAATAACCTAACTACCATTTGTACCATTATTCTTATGGGAAAATATATTCATAAATTCCAAAGAACATTTCATATCCAGCAGATTAATAACCTTTCAAAGAGAGTCTGTTAGTAAGTTGGAGTCTACATGGAGAGCCTCTGGCCTCCAGTCTCTTTCTTCAAACTTGCCCTTTCTTAACATCAGAAATTGGATTTTGGTACATTCCAAATGCAGTAATATTAAACATCTCATATCAACTAACTTACCTGTAGAGGAATATGACCAACTTCTCATCAGATGTTATGGCAGCATGTTAGTGTTGAGAACTAAGCTCTGAGTAATTGCTAGACCTAATGCTGGGCAGTCCCACAGGTAGGAAGCTTTCACAGTTTCAGTCTGAATTCAATTTCAGTCTTAATTTTGGATTTTATTTACTTGTTACACGTACAACACACAAAATATAAGGAAAGAATCTCATGCAAATTATACCTAAAACAGAGCCCATGTTTCTCTGTTAGGTTTATGTATTTTCCATAATATATATAATGTAATATACATAGAGAAAAGACTTGTTTGTGCATTTTGATGGATGGGGAATTCAACTCAAAAGCAGAAAATCAAATGCAGGAGATCCATATGGTATCAGTAAAGAAGTGATATAAGAATAGAAAGCCCTTTTAAGAAGTGATATGAAGAATTCAAGTAAAAAGTGTTTTTCCCCCCTATAGTATCATTATCATTTTAGCTATTGCTACCAAAGGATAGCAGTGACTTAGGCATAACACTTCAGCCT